TAGAGACGGGGTTTCACCATGTTGACCAGGATGGTCTCGATCTCTTGACCTCGTGATCCACCCGCCTCGGCCTCCCAAAGTGCTGGGATTACAGGCTTGAGCCACCGCGCCCGGCCTTATAGGTGCCTTTAAAAATGAAAATGATTACCGTTACTTTTGAGCCATGATAAATCTTGATTGAATCCTCATGATACAAGTTCTAGCAAATAAGAAACCTCCTTACATTTTATAGATTGTTTTTCTGCTTGGCCTTGGTTAAGGATTTGGAATGTTGTTTAACCTCAAAGAGGTTTTTTCTTTCTTTAAAAAGGCTGGTGCCTGTCAGTTCTGTGTCTCTCACTTGCTAGCCAGGGAGGAGTGAGAGGGCTGGATTCTGTGAGGGGAGCTTGAGCTATGCTTCCTGTTCTCTCCCCGCCTCTCCCGTTCTCTCCCCACCTCTCCCGTTCTCTCCCCGCCTCTCCCATTCTCTCCCCTGCCTCTCCCGTTCTCTCCCTGCCTCTCCTGTTCTCTCCCTCCAGGTCCAGTCACATGCTGAGGTCAGAATTCTTTTGAGGTGTTAACCTTGACCTTGTAATGAACTGAATCTGAAGCTTAAATGATATAGACTTTAGGTGATTCAGACACAGAATCTCTGAGAATCACTGCTTTAAATAATTTATTTGATGACTTTCTATTTTGTGCCTATGAGTAAGGCACTGTAGGGAAGACACAGCGTCTGCCCTCAAGGTTTCATTCTCTATAGGTAGGACAAGACATGTCTACATATTACAGTAAAAGCCAGAGACTATATCTAATAATAAACAATTATCCTTTATAGACTGCTTACTAAGCATTTTAGACACCGTCTCCTTTAAATCACATGACAGTCATGAGGAAGGTACTGTTTTCCTTATTTTATTTTTTTATTTGTAGAGGTGGGGCCTCACCATGTTGCCCAGGCTCGTCACTCACTCCTGGGCTCAGGTGATCCTCCTACCTTGGCCTCCCAAAGTACTGGGGTTACAGGCCAGGCATGAGACACTGTGCCCAGACCTTTTTTTTTTTTTTTTGAGGCAGAGCCTTGCTCTGTTGCCTAGGCTTAGGTACAGTGGCACTATCTCGGCTCACTGCAACCTCCACCTCCTGGGTTTTCAAGCAATTATTCTGTTTCAGCCTCCTGAGTAGCTGGGATTACAGGCACTCCCCCACCATGCCCAGCTAATTTTTGTATTTTTAGTAGAGACGGGGTTTCACCATGTTGGCCAGGCTGGTCTTGAGCTCCTGACCTCAGGCGATCCACCTGCCTAGACCTCCCAAAGTGCTGGGATTACAGGCGTGAGCCACCGAACCCGGCTGACTATTTTTATTATTATTTTTGAGACAGGGTCTCATTCTGTCCCTCCAGGCAGGAATGCAGTGGCACAATGATAGCTCACTGCAGCTTTGACCTCCTGGGCTCAAGTGATCCTCCTGAGTAGCTAGGACTGTAGGTGTGTGCCACCATACCTGGCTGTTCTTTTATTTCAGTAGAGACAGGGGTTTCACCGTGTTGCCCAGGCTGAACTCCCAACTCCTAAGCTCAGCCAGTCTGCACACCTCAGCCTCCCAAAGTTTAGGTTTATAGGTGTGAGTCACTGCGTCTGGCCGCCTGGATAATTTTTTAAAAAATTAATAGAGATTGGGTCCTGTTAGGTTGCTCAGGCTGGTCTCGACCTTCTAGGCTCAAACAATCCTCCTGCCTTGGCTTCCCAAAGTGCTCGGATTATAGGCATGAGTTGCAGCACCTTGCCCTATTTTCTTTATTTTATAGTTGAGGAAACTGAGGCTCAGAGAGTCCAAGTACATGTGACTAATAAGGGGTGTAGCTGGAGATCCCTATCGGAGAAGGGGCAGATAAAATGTCTGTTTAGAAGAGGAAGAGACAGCTTCTGTTTTTTGGGGGACAGGAGATAAAGAGGTCAGAGAAATCTTTAGGGTGGAATTTGAATTGGGACTCAGTGGTACATAGGATTTTAAGACATGGAGCCTGGGAAAAGAGCTTGGGCGGGGCAGGGAGGAGAATATAGGAATCAGTCACTGATTCCTCCCTTGCCCTTGTGTTCTCTTTTCACTTAGAAAGGTGTCAGTGGGCAGGAAGATGGTGATTACCTGTCCATTGACTCTCCCTATTGAGACGTATGATTTCCATGTGACATAAATGTGACTACAGTCAGGAAAAGTTCAGCTCTGACTGTGCATTGTTGAGTAATCAGAGGGAGAAGCAGTAGGGCTGGTGCAGCAGGAGGGAGTTTTCTGCAGGAGCTGGAAATTCAGATGGGTCTGGAAGAATATGGTTAGGGCACTGAGAGGCACAGAGCGGACACTTGGGCCAGAAGGAAAACAATGTCAGAAGTAGTCAGAATTATGGTCCTGAGAAGTAACACCTCATTTCCAGAGCCTAAAAGAGCTGCTCTGTCAGAACCAGTATGGCAAGCCAGGACAGGATGGCCAGAGGGGAGATGGAAGGGTTATTTTTTCAGTTTTATTTACTTGTTTTTGTTTTTGTTTGAGATAGGGTCTTGCTCTGCAGCCCAAGCTGGAGTGGAGTGGCGTGATCTTGGCTCACTGCTGCCTTAGCCTCCTGAGCTTAAGCAGTCCTCCCACTTCAGCTTCCTGGGTAGCTAAGACTAC